TTTTCTCCATTGCTTTTTCATTTTCAGTTTTCAGTGGGTATTCACTTCAATTTTCAAAGAAGTTCTAGTGGATAAAATACTATCAAACATCATTACATGTTACAGAGATATCTTTTGTGAAAGGAAGTCAATCGATGTGACAAACTTCACTGTTGCCTGATTTTAAGGAATTGCCACAGCCACCCTAAACTTCAGCAACAACTACCCCGAGTCAGCAGCTACCAACACCAAGGCAAGACCCTCCACCATCAAAATGATCACAACTCACTGAAGAGTCAGAGGGTTGTTAGCCTTTTATTTTTAATCAAAGTCTGTGCATTTTTTAGACATAATGCTATTGCACACCTAATAGGCTACAGTATAGTGTATATATAACTTTTAAATGCACTGAGAAATGTAAAAATGTATGTGGCCTGCTTTATTGTGATATATGTTTTCTTGCCTTCGTGTGGAAGTGAACCTGCAGCATCTCTGAGGTATTCCTTTGCAGCTACGGTCCTGTTTTTTGTTTGTCTAGCGTTTACATGGCAAGACTCTCTCCCTCCTTTTACTTTTAACCCATCTATGTTTTTCTATTTAAACTTAGTTCTCATAGACAACATATAATTGGTTCTTGACTTTTTATCCATCTGGAAATTTCTGTCCTAATTGGTTCTTGACTTTTTATCCATCTGGAAATTTCTGTCTTTAGCTAATGTGTTTAGACTATTCATTTAACCTTGTCATTTTCCTGTTCTTTTAGCCTAACAAGACTATCAAAAGAAACTTCCAGTTTCTTGTGCTCTCAGCAGTCCCTCGTAAATGGTGAAATAATTCCCAAAGGAAAAAAGAGATCCCAAACACTGGAATCATCTCTCTGAACCCTTACCCTTCCTTGGATCCTAGCCTAATAATTGTTCATTATGTTAATAGCTCCTTGATGCCTTTAAATAGATGCTTGTAAGTAGATGCATTTCTACCCCTACCAGAAGTAGAAACCTTGAAACCTTTTCTATCTATTCTCACATATATAGATACAGTTATCTGTAGATAATTAGTAGATATATTGGCCAGGTATGGTGGCTCAGACTTGTAATCCCAGCACTTTGGGAGGCCGAGATGAGTGGATGACCTGAGGTCAGGAGTTCGAGATCAGGCTGGCCAACATGGTGAAACCCCATGTTCATTAAAAATACAAAAATCAGCTGGGTATAGTGGCACATGCCTGTAATCCCAATCACTCAGGAGGCTAAGGCAGGAGAATTGCTTGAACCCAGGAGGTGGAGGTTGCAGTGAGCTGAGATCATGTCACTGCACTCCAGCCTGGGCAACAGAGTGAGACCCTGTCTCAGAAAAGAAAAAAAGATATAGATGATATTAGAGATCTATAGATAGTTATATAAGCATAAAAAATGGATTAAAGGCTGGGCGCGGTGGTTCAAGCCTGTAATTCCAGCACTTTGGGAGGCTGAGGAGGGTGGATCACGAGGTCAAGAGATCGAGACCATCCTGGTCAACACGGTGAAACCCCGTCTCTACTAAAAATACAAAAAATTAGCTGGGCATGGTGGCACGTGCCTGTAATCCCAGCTACTCAGGAGGCTGAGGCAAGAGAATTGCCTGAACTCAGGAGGCAGAGGTTGTGGTGTGCCAAGATCATGCCATTGCACTCCAGTCTGGGTAACAAGAGTAAATCTCGGTCTCAAAAAAAAAAAAAAGGATTAAAAAGGTTTGGAAAACATCTACTTAAAGGCATGAAGGAGCAGTAACATAGTAAATAGATAGGTAAATAGATACTATGTAGTATTATCTAGAGTGTATTTTGTTTTTTACATGAATAGTATCATAATGTATACTCAGTGAATTTCTTTATTTTTTCAACAATATGTGTTGGACTTCTAGAAAATTATAATATATAGATCTATCTCACTCTTTTATAAACTTTAGGCCCGGCATGGTGACTCATGCTTACAATTCCAGAACTTTGGGAGGCTGAGGCAGGAAGATGGCTTGAGCCCAGGAGTTTGGGACCAGCCTAAGCAGCACAGTAAGACTCTGTCTCTACAAAGAAAAAAAACCAAAACCAAACAAACAAAAATAACCAACAACAAAAAAAGCTAGGCATGGCAGCACACATCTGTAGTCCCGGCTACTTGGCAGGCTGAGGTGGGAAGATTGCTTGAGCCCAGGAGTTCAAGGCTGCAGTGAGCTATGATTATGTCAATGTACTTCAGCCTGGGTGACACAGTCGGACCTCATGTCAAAAAAAAAAAGAGGCTGGGCGCGGTGGCTCAAGCCTGTAATCCCAGCATTTTGGGAGGCTGAGGCGGGTAGATCACGAGGTCAAAAGATTGAGACCATCCTGGTCAACATGATGAAACCCCGTCTCTACTAAAGATACAAAAAATTAGCTGGGCATGGTGGTGCATGCCTGTAATTCCAGCTACTCAGGAGGCTAAGGCAGGAAAATTGCCTGAACCCAGGAGGTGGAGGTTGTGGTGAGCCGAGATGGTGCCATTGCACTCCAGCCTGGGTAACAAGAGCGAAACTCTGTCTCAAAAAGAAAAAAGAAAGAAGGAAAGGTAAAGAAAAACCTAAAAACACAACTTTACCCATCAAACTTAAAGTCGTGGATATCTCTGGTTTTCGATAGGGTTGGTGGTTAAAGCTTTTATATAGGTGAAAAGGACATTTTGGAGTAAGAACAGAACTTTGGGGAAAAGTCCATCATTTTCCCAGACAATTTCTTTGGCATTTTGGGATTATTTTTCAACATGCTATGTTTATAGTAGATTTCCCCCCTATGGCATTTCAAAAGATCCTACTGCTTCTCCATTTTTCCCAATAATTTGTCAATATCATTGCCTAATGAATCCATAAAGTGCCCTCTGTTCACTGGTAGCAATCATTTCCTCTGACTCCTAAGTCATTCTTTCCATCCTTTTCTCCCTTTGCTTCTGTAGGCACACGTTGTACATTTTTGCGGAACCTGGAGTAACTGAAGTTAGAGTTTGTTTATTTTTTTTATGTGAAGGAAGATAAAAGCCCTTAAACACCAAGTCCAAATAGCTACAAAGCAATCTTTTTATTTGCTCATTTACTCTCACAGAGACCGTCTGGCAGGGCCCTCTTAAAAGTCAGTAGACGGGAAAATACGCTGTCTTAAAATGTAATGAAAAACAGTGGGCTTCTAATTATTCTCTCAAGGCTATTCCTACCCTTTGTAATAAATTAAAGCAAGCTTAGCCACTGTTTATGGATGGCATAAAAGTAAACAGGGACTAAGATTGCAGATTCTGGGGTTGGGCATGGTGGCTCATGCCTGTAATCCCAGCACGTTGGGAGGCTGAGGCAGGTGGATCACCTGGGGTTGGGAGTTTGAGACCAGCCTGACCAACATGGAGAAACCCCATCTCTACTGAAAATACAAAATTGCCCGGGCATGGTGGCACATGCCTGTTATCCCAGCTTCTTGGGAGGCTGCAGGAGAATCGCTTAAACCTGGGAGGCAGAGGTTGTGGTGAGCAGAGATTGTGCCACTGCACTCCAGCCTGGGCAACAAGAGCAAAACTCCATCTCAAAAATAAAATAATAATAATTTTTTAAAAGATAGCAGATGCCAGACCTAGCACTACAAGATGCAGCTAGTACAATTCTTCCCAGAGCAGGGGAGACTTGTATAATACCCTTCTGCAGGGTTTAATCGGGCATTAAAGAGCCCGATTGAATCTCCAGTGGGGTCCTCAGGGCTATATGCCCTGCAGTACCTCCCAGGTGCTCTGGTGGGCTTCTCTGGAGTCCAGCCTAGCTTCATCCCTAGGCTGTGGCTGCCAACCTCCTTAAACCCGAATGTTCCTTGAGACTACTTCCCAACTTCTTATTTCACCATCACTTGTTTATTGCACAAAATGAATGAATGACAGCTAAGCGATTTGCTCTTGGTCATACTACTACTGAGTGGCAAACCCCACATGTTTCCCTCTTAAGCATTTTGTTACCCACTGTAGGGAACAGAGGAGAAACACAAAATCTTTTTATCTCCCTTCTTCATTACCTATCTGGGACCAAGTCAATTCCAGTCAAGTGCCTAGAAAATGGTCATGTGTATAGTTCTATAATGTGTATATCTTACATTTTATAAATTACTTAACCTAATCATTGTTAGTGTGTTAACTCAGTAGTGAGTGGTTTTTGAACCTCCAGTGCATAATATTAAAAGAGGAAAGTATTTTTACACAATCTGATATATATATCTTCAGACAATAAACTGAGGTTTCAAATGAATATAAAAATGTTTAGAGTATATAAGTTGGTATGTTGAATAAGAGTGATACATGGATTGTGATCAAGGCAGAAGTTCCTTTTTATCTCCCACCGTTTCTTTGAATATTATTATTATTATTGAGATGAAGTCTCGCTCTTGTCACCCAGGCTGGTGTGCAGTGGCGCGATCTTGGCTCACTGCAACCTCTATCTCCCAGGTTTGAGCAATTCCCCTGCCTCGCCTCCTGAGTAACAGGGATTACAGGTGTGTACCACCACACCTAGCTAATTTTTGTATTTTTAGTAGAGATGGGGTTTCACCATGTTGGCCAGGCTGGTCTCAGACTCCTGACCTCAGGTGATCCGCCCACCTCAGCCTCCCAAAGTGCTGGGATTATAGGTGTGAGCCACCATGCCCAGCCTAAATATTATTTAATACAGTCATTGTCCCTGTCCCCCTACCTGTGGTGGATCCATGGCTTTTTTCCTCTTTAATAGGTAACGGTCTCATTGCTACTTTAAGTTACAAACACAGTTTTGTTTCTGAAATTGGCACTAGACACTTAATAATCAAAATGTGGGCTGGGTATAGTGATTCATGCCTATAATCCCAGCACTTTGGGGAGACCAAGTCAGGAAGTCTGCTTGAAACCAGGAGTTTGACACCAGCCTGGACAACATAGTGTATCCTCATCTCTACAAAAAAAAAAAAAAATTGTTTTAATGAAAAGAGAAAAAACTTAAAGCAAAATGCATACCTTTGCTTGGCACGAGTCTTCTCCTCACCAACTTGGTATCCCATGTGTCTTGTGGATGCATCTTTGTTTGGGGATCCTGTGCAGCTCTTTTCTCAGCTCTGGGCAGCTCTTTGCTCCTCCAGATGAACTTGTGTGACAGGCCCAAAGTAATACTGTGCCAACTCTGTCTCGCATGGTCCAGATTTGGTCCCATACTCCGACAAATTTTGGAGAGGGAGCGGAAACTCCAGCATGGTCAGTAGGAGGCATTCTAAACACAGAAAACAGCTGTGCTTTGCACCCACACAGAATAATCGAAATCTCCTTAGAAGTCATCTCTCCACTTGCTGGATTTTACTGAACAAGAAACGGAGGGCAAAAGAATGATTACCCCAACAGTAAGTTGATGATGATAGAATTCAATTTCTGACGGCCCTAGTGTTGGGTCCACATTATTTCTCAAAGTACATTTTATTTTATTTTATTTTTTACTTTTTTTGAGATGGAGTCTCGCTCTGTTGCCCAGGCTGGAGGGCAGTGGCGCAATCTCAGCTCACTGCAAACTCCGCCTCTTGGGTTCAGGCGATCCTCCTGCCTCAGCCTCCTGAGTAGCTGGGATTATAGGTGCCTGCCACCATGCCTAGCTAATTTTTGTATTGTTAGTAGAGACAAGGTTTCACCATGTTGGCCAATCTGGTCTCAAACTCCTGACCTCAGGTGATCTGCCCGCCTCAGCCTCCCAAAGTGCCAGAATTACAGACATGAGCTACCGTGCCGGACCTCGAAGTAAATTTTTAAAAATCTGTGCCTTTGCTGAGCTTCAGTAAAAAAAGCCAAATCAGTATACGGGCTCAGATGAGTGATTTTTACATGTCATATCATTACGTTTTTCCTGCTGTCTCACCATGTCCCTTGTGCATAATAAATATTCTTCTGGAAACAAAGATTTGGTGTGTAGCCTCACAAACTCATCTATACCAAAGAGCACAATAAGATTGTCCACAAGTTGTGCATCCCAAATCCAAAAATCCAAAATTTGAAATGCTCCAAAATTCACACCTTTTTGAGCGCAGACATGATGCTGAAAGGAAACGCTCATCAGAGCATTTCAGATTTTGGATCTTCAGATTCATGAGGTTCAGTTGGTATAATGCAAATATTCCCAAATCTGAAAAGATCTGAACTCTAAAACATCTGGGCCGAAGCATTTTGAATAAGGGATACTCAACCTATAGTAACCTACGGACTATCTGGGGGAGATCTGGGATGAAGAGTTCCCGGAATAGCAGTCATCGTGTTTAACGGCTCAGAGTTCCACAGGGAATTCAGTGGAGATGGTCAGTTTGCCCTGCTTTCCCAGAGCACAGAGATATAGTTCAGTGGTTACCCTGTGATCTTTAAAGAAGCGAAGATCTTAATGTTAGGCCTGATAGAAGGTTAGAGTACACTTAAACTTCCTGCTGCTTTAAACTAGCCCTGGTCAATTCGTCTAGCCTTTATTTATTTATTTATCCTTCACCCTGTACTGAGCTAGTTGCTATGAATACAAAATAAAACACAGTCCTTGCTTTCAAGCAGTTTATAGAGAGACACAGTGTTGCAATGTGTTAAGGTACCATGCATGTAGAAATTATTACAGATAATATTTTATTCATAGAAAGTTTTTTTTTAATTTACAAAGTAATTCCAACTTCAAAAATCCTATATGTCACATGGCATAATCAATTCTATTTTATGGGTAAAACAACTGAGACCCAGAGATGTAAATTGTTGTGTTCACATTTCCAAAGGTTAAGTTGCAAAATCCAGAATTAAACTCAGTTCATCTGACTCCTTTCTAGGTTTGTCCTTCTCAGTGGCATTTGTATTTCAACAAGGAACAAAGAAAGCAACAGGATTCAAACTAGGACTGACAGGAGATATTTGGAAGACTGGAGCACTGGAGACTTCCCAGGGTCCTGGGAATGCCAGCACAGAAGCAGCCTGTGGACAACACCTGCTGGGAATGAGACTCATCCTGAGGAGGGACACCACCGCCCCACTCCTTGCTGCCCTGGACACTGGACACCTTCCCACCAAGTTCAAAGCCTGTCTTCCTTTGGGGCCAGGGCATCTGAATTGCTTTCTGAGGGCTCATTACCGTTTTTCAGTAGATCAGGTGCAAACACTCTGAGTAAACAAAAGAAAATTTTCTATCATTGGCAGCCCACTGCTAACTGCTACACCCTGGTTATTTTTCTTTTAGTTAATTAAAAAAGAAAGAAGATGAAGAAGGGAAGGATAAGTTGGAGGTTGTGTGGGGGCGTGGCAGGGACTTGGCTCTGGCTGAACTTCAGACCCCAGAGGGACTTAGAAGAACTACCAGTGCCCACAATGGCTCTTCAGTGCAGCCTGTGTTTACTCAGGAGCAGCCACCACCTCCACAGCCCCGAAGGCAGCCTGCATGAAAATGCTTCATTGTGCAGCGATTTTTCAGTTACTTTAGGGGCTTCAGGCTGGTAGCAGATGATTTGTGAGACGCCTACAGATCCATCAGCTTTTGAAATTCTACACAGGCTGGTGTATGTTACTGCTGAGCCTCACTTATTCATCTTTCCATTCAGCAAAGCATAATCAAATAAATGCTTACTATGTGCTAGGCACTAGAGTAGCCACCAGGATAGAAAAACATGAAGGGCAGAGTCATTGTCCTAAAAAGAGGATGCTCAGACCCATGCGATCTCTTGGCAAGTTCCTCATTTTAATGACAGCATTGCCATGATCCTTGCTCTCTCGTTGGGGTCCTTTGATGAGTGAAACTGACAGATCGGGCATCTGATTAATTCATCATAGACAGAGGACCTACCATGAGCCAAGCACTTCTCAAGGTACTAGAGACTCAAAACACAGAACACACGTGGTCTCTGCCCATAAGGACATTCCGACTATTGGGAGGGACAGATCTGCAGTTCCATTAGAGCCCCAGTTGCTAAGACAGACAATTGTTGAGGGTACAGTAGAGGCACAGAGGAGACGGTTATCAGTGGAGTGACTGGATTTAGTCACAAAAGACTTCCCAGAGATGATGCTAATACTGAATTGAGAAAGATAAACGTATTTCCAGCTGGGTGCAGTGGCTCACGCCTGTAATCCCAGCACTTTGGGAGGCCAAGGTGGGTGGATCACCTGAAGTCAGGAGTTCGAGACCAGCCCAACCAACATGGTAAAACCCCGTCTCTACTAAAAATACAAAAAAATTAGCCAGGCGTGGTGGCTTACACCTGTAATCCCAGCTACGGGGGAGGCTGAGTCAGGAGAATCACTTAAACTTGGGAGGCAGAGGTTGTAGAAAGCAGAGATATTGCACCACTGTACTCCAGCCTGGGCAACAATAGCAAAACTCCATCTCAAAAAAAAATAGATAAACACATTTCAATTTTATATAACAAGATGGTAATGATCATCCTTGTTATCATCACGTGACAGGAAACACCTGCTACATGTTTAAAAAACTAGTTTAATAATTGTGAGCTAATAGGTGTCCTGCTACATGGTTTATTTAAGAAGTGGACCCCACCATTGCCATTAACATAACTACCCTGACACTTGAAACACACTCAAGTTTTATTATTTGCATATTGTCAGGTAAGGTCTTCCTGTTCTGCAAGATTGAAATAGAGTTAGCTCAATTATCTATTAAGTTCTGCAAAAAGTTCAATGTCTACCCAATGAAAATGTTTGAAACACTTGGGTTATCTAGTTTATGCCTTACCTTCTTTCTGGTTCTTCAGGAAATGGCTGTTCCTTTGTCTCCACCATGATGTACACCCAAATGTAAAATTCATTTTGGAGTACTTTTGATTTCCATTCAAAATCCTCAAGCCAAATTCACGGAAGGCTTTTATGTATAAAATAGCCTTTTATCAAAGCTTTTAGAAAAGTGATGAGTTTTGTCACGTGAATGCAAACAAGTTAAAACTGAGTATTAGTCCTTCCCTGTTCTTAACAGTTCTTTTTGGCCAGTCTGTCATTCTCCTCAGCCACCTTCTTTTGTTCTTCACTCCTCCCCCAAGGTCCCCTCTTCTTTTCTCTCTCCCACCCCCAATTTCTTCCCCCTTTTAAGGTCCCTGCCTCCCTTAGCTTCCCATCATCACTATAAATACACTACCTACATCATATTTAACACTTCCTGTCACGTGATGAAAAAAACGGACATCAATTACACCGTTGAAGGTAAAACATCAATTATGGTGTTGAAGGTAAAAGATGCATCTTACCTATATATGGACATGGATGGAGAAAAAGGAATCCAGCAGCACTTCCAGCAGGAGGAAGAAGCTCTCCTGGATTTCAAGTCCCATGTAAGGGAGAGAGAGCATGGGGAGAAATGCCAGATATAGGTGAAGGGGAGGAAGGCAGCAAATCATGCTGCCACGTGTGTACCTATGCAACAATCTTGCGTGTTCTTCACATGTACCCCAAAACCTAAAATGCAATTAAAAAAAAAAGAAACAAACCAAGTTCTGAGAACTTAAAAAAAAAAAAGACCTGGGGTGAGGAAGAAAGGCGAACAAGACAGAGGGAATCATGTGTGCAAAGGCCTAAATGCTTTGAAAATCAGAGAAAATTCGAGAAACTGAAAATAGAGAAGAAAGATGGAGTCTGGAGAGTGGGAGAAACCTCTGTGAGATGAAGTCAGTGATAGGAGTAGGGGCTGGACGACAAAAGCCAGGAAGGTTGGGCCAAGGACTGTGCCCTTTATTTTGAGGAGACCAGAAGAGTCAGTCAAAGGTGGGAACCAGGGCTCAGAACCACCAGCTTTGTGTGCCACAGTCAGGATGACAATCAAAGAACAGAGAAAGGCAAAAGAAAGCCCAAGAAAATGCACCTCAGTTAGGTGTACCTAGTTTTCTGAGAGAGCAGAATGCACCACCTGAAACAGCAGAGTCTGGGAAGCCAACGTGGGCAGATCACCTAAGGTCAGGAGATCGACAAAAAGAAAAAAGAAAGGGTCCACTGCTAATGAAACAGCCTCATCAGAGTCATTTTGGAATGTCCCTTTTGACATTTTTCTGGTTCTTCCGAATGGTTTTGGAGACTCTGGCTGTAATTCTGCCTTCTTGCTGGATGCAAGTAACTGGTAACAACCCTAGAGAAATCCTAGATATATTTTGCTGCGAGCCCAGGCAAGGAGAAGGTCAATATCCCAGGTGTATCATTCCTCATTAATCTCAAGCTTCATGTCTGGGTGTCTTCCTGAGTCTACATTTTGGAGATGGTGAAGGGAGCATGACTTTTAGCTGTGGGAAGCAGTGTAATGTAATACAAAGCACGTGGACTTGGAAGTCAGATTTGCTGATTGTTTTGATTGCCTCATC